ATGTATTATTACTTCCGCTACACAGTACTGGTACGGTTTCAGTAAAGTAGCAGCTATATTCATATATATGTCGCCAGTGGTCAGTTCAGAATAAATGCGAAACGAGACTCACTTCAGACTGTTAGCAGTATTGTGGTGGCGGCTTGCCGATAATGCTTGCATTTGTTTTGATCTCTTCGTTGTTCGGACTTGTCTGAGCCTACTACTTCTCCTGGCTATAATTGTTGTCGCTCCAGCGCAGCTGTCCTGAGATTAAAATCTTTCTGTGGGTCATGCAGTACATTACGCGTAGTGCATCACTGCAAATATTTGTCGATTGAGAGTCAATCTACAGATATTCCTCATGCATGCTCGGTTCGAGTTCGCTTTGAATCGATCATGAATAGTTGCAGGAGGACATGACGTGTGCTTGTTGCTTCACACCATCCATCATCTCAGAAATAGTTCCCCCCTCTTTCAATGTTGCTCAGCATTTGTGCCGCTGCCAATATTATCGCCATTGAAATCAACGTCATTAGTATCGTCATTGTCAACTTGGATGGGCGTTGCAGGAGCATAGATGATGCTTGCCGCCTTAATAACTGCTTGCCAATCGTTCCAACAGGTATAAATAATGGGTGCTGCTCCCAGTGCTGCAAAGGGCCTAATGGATTCTGGCAAGTAGGCAATGGCAAATAAAAAGAGATCCATGACGAATAGAATCAAGGACCACAAAAAAGCTTGGTACCCCTTGTACCGGTAGGAGGCTGTGAAATCGAAAAACTGTTGGTAGACTTGATGTGCTTCGTCTTCTCGTGCCAAAGCAGCCTTGCTGTACATGATGCAAAAGGAAAATATTCCCAGAGAATACAGTCCAAGACAAGAGGAAGAGGTGCTGGTGATCAACAGCAAAACTCGAAAGGCTTGGTCCCAAACATCACCACCATAAAAAATTGGACTGTCTTCCCTCCTGTGACGACATCAAAGGAAGCCGTGGCTGTAATGGCAGACACTAGAACGTAGGGTTCCAGACCATCCAATCGTATTTGCGTCTTCTTCTCACTAAAGGCGGAGGCTGGTGGTAGTTTGGTGGGTATGGATGATGAAAGAACTGACATACTATGTTCATCCACTTCCTCTACCTCGTCGTCATCTTCGTAAATGACCGTCTTTCCCAATTTGTATCCTCCCTGCCCCCCTCGTCCTCCCATGTGTAGAAAGCTTTGAATGTGCAAGGAGGAGGAGGAGGAGAAAGTAGGCGTTGAAAATCCATCCACCAGCAGTACTTGACTGCAGCAAAATGAACACATAATGATCAGAACAACAGAGAAGTATCCAACGCCAAAGAAGGTCAACATGGTTTTGCTTGTTTCTTGAATGTTCTTAAGGTCTGATTGTGGTTCTTGATGAGCGAAGAAGATAGTCCAGTATGTTGCGTGGGTGTGATTAATATATTACAACAACAGATCGAAGATGAGGAAGGGTGTATTTTAAAATACCGGTACAGCAATTTTTAGTTTTGAAGTTGTTGGAAGATCCAGAACTTTCGCATCATTTATTTGTACATGATCGACTACTTCGACGGCACTCCACTTTGAACTTTTGCACATGTTGAATCGTCGCCTGTCGGCCAATAATGTAATCTTAGTGCCGGTAGGTTCAAACAATGTTGCCTTTTTTTAGCTGTAGAAAGTCTAACACCAGAACAAAACCCAACGGATGGATGGTTTTTTCCTGCCTGTCCAACCAAGCAAGATCTGGTTCTGGCTTCAATGAAACTTGCTTGATTCGTAAACCTCACCTCCTTGGTTTGAATTCTGTTGCACTAAAACACGAAACACCATCCGAAGATTCTAGCATTTTTGATAATCCACCTTGCCATACGATACGCTGGTGGTTTCATTGCTTGGACTTTGAATCATCCAGTCGCAATACTTTGCTGAATCATCTTGACTTTTGCGCAAACTGCTGAAGGAGCGTCTGAACTATCCCCGCCTAAAGTTTGAGTCTGTCCTGAGAGCATACTCTATAAAGTTTCTGTGGAGTGTGAAGAAGTAAAGCTAACAACTTCAGTTTCAGCATCAGCATCGACGTTTTTCTGAAGAAGCGAGGCCAACACAGCGAACTTAAGAGACGATTTTCCGCGTCTGACGAGTTATTATTCGTCACCAGTTACAATAGCAAACAAGCCAAACAATGATGGAATCTCCGTATCATCCACAACCTCACGACGACGATGCCGAAGACGGCTCGGTGTCTTCCTTATTGCCGGAAGACCAGCCGGAACCAACCTCTCCCAAAGCAACGACGAATTTCTCCATGGGCCATGGATTTGAATTTGCAACGTGGCGGTACTACTGCTGGTACTGCACACATCTTCCTGGAAAATGCGCATGCAACAACGTAAAGCTGTATATGGTGAAGTCGCGGTTGCCGAAGATGAGGAGGAAGAATCAGATCAAGAGAATGGTCTAGACCAGCCATCATTGGATCATGATGATGAGGGGCCAACTCCTCAACAAAAGGCCTTGCAATATATTCAGCATAGGATGATGCTTGGTCCACCATTCAGACTTTACTTCATCAATTCACCAACATCATTGTTTTTACTTGGAGCCCCAAGTATGACATGGACTTGCGCGTGCCTTTTCATCTTCTGATCTCAGTTGGAGCAGTGGTATAGTACTATATATACTCGCTTTGAAAACTTGTTAGGTTGCTATACTATCCCCCTTGTTTCTTCCCAACATCACGAACTAACTGACTGCTATACATCTATATACTACACATTTATACATACATCGCTCGATATACTGTATGGTTACGATTCATTTGTAGTTTCGGCTGTTGGTGCCGAGGGAGGAGATGGCGGTTCATCGTTGTCATCTCCTGGTTCTTCGGAAGCACCGACAGCTTTTGGTTTCAATAGCGGATGATCTGCTCGTGGAACAAAGCCATGTGGTTTCTGTCCTTTGGCTTGATTTCTCATCTTCTTGTCGTGTCGTTTGAGCATGACATGGACGGAATCCTCCACCGTTCGCAATTTGGAACTACCGCAGCCCATTGTTTCTGTTGTTCGAATCTATTTGGTCTTCTTCCGTTGATGCTCTCTCTCGTTTCTCTCAATCTGATTTGAAACACTCGTGATCAAGCTAGCTTTCAAGATGAAAAAAGGAGAGAATGCTGAGTAAATGTTCATTGAGTTTCAGTCATGCTGGTGTATAAGCCGGTTGTTCTTCCTTGTGGTGCTTCTCTGTCCAAGCACCAGGCTTGTTGTTGCAACTAGTAACAAAGTCTATTCAGTTTCCAGTCAGTTTCCAGTCAGTTACTCTCACCTCAGATAATCACTTCCTATTCGCTTGCTTTTTCCTTTTCTTTTTTTTGTTGTTGGATCACACAATAAGACCAAACGAGAGTTGTATTTTGTGATACCGCGGTACAGTATATGAGTGACTTTCTTAAAAGTTCTGACTTTTCACTGGAAGAAGGATGAAGTCTCGGAAGAATTTGGCCTTCGAGGAGGTCTCATGATGACTTCCTCTATGTAGGTACTCCTCCTCGAGACTCCCCAAGGATTCATTCGTTCATCCTACGGTATTCTTGCTCGGACCAATCAAATCAAACGATTGAGGAAGGTTTTTTCATAATATATATTGATTGGTCGCGGTGCAGTGTCTCGGAGATACTCATTCGCCACTAGAAAAGTACATTCATGTTTCTGCATGTACACCGCATCTTTATTAGTATAGGTACAGTACTCGTGTCACTACAGTGTCTATGCAATTTCATTCCAGTAAAACCAAATAAGATAAGTATAGTCGAAGAATAACTCATCAATAGCACTGTATTTACTAGTTATTGTTCTTAGATCATGGTTCTTCAACCTTGGGCAAATCAAGAAAGCAGCCCATGACTACCGAGAATACTATACCCCTATGATGATATGTGTCCCCTACTAGTCTTATCCCTATTTTTTGCTGGTGATTGATCTATGCTGTATCAGAAAAATGAATGAATCAGCGATAGTTCGTCTTTTCCCAACGACCTTCGGCCAAGAACTTGCGCCTCTTGTTGGTGGTTTCCCGTCGAAGAAGGTGGTGAGGAGTGGGTGATCCCTTTCTTGTTCTTCTAGCATGACGATCCTGTGAGATTCCTCTCGGATAGTGTAGTTGCATTACACTCCTCCAAGTTCCAGCAAGTTCATCTGCAAAAGTAGGCGGCCCCTCTCCGTTTTCGATTCATTGCAGCTGGGAGGATCTCAACGCCGAATCTTACTTTCCGCTCAAGAGTAGCTCCTTCTTGTTCTTCTTTTCTGGTGAGTCTGCTCCTCCTTCCAAGTGATCAGCGTGAATTCCTTCTTCTTTATACAGTAGTATGTTCATTTTATACCGCCATGCCATGCAATATAATATGTCTACGTAGTATAATAGTAATAGATACACACCAACAATGAAATTTCATCTGCGTGCAGTACCGGTATGTACAACTAACTCAATATTGAATATCTCATTTTCTACAGCATTGTACAGCATGTATAGTTCCCTTGATACACGTTTGCGTTCCGTACGTCGTCGTTTTGAGTTCTTGCTACTACTACTAAAGTCCCCCAGCGGCATCGTTGTGGTTGGATGATTTGGCATGCATGATCCTTTGCTGGGTGGGCTATTGGTAGTTGCTACTAGTAGTAGTTGTACCGTAAGCGTCCCAATTCCCAATGCCTATAGCATAATATGTAATATACATTCAATTTGCAATTTAGTATATATATATATATAAATACTTTATATCTCTGATATAAAGTGTGTTGTACGGTTGGAGAATGACATGATGACATGAGCCAGTCGGTCAATCTTTCCTTGTTTGTACATTCTTAGGTACAGTTGGTACAGCAATACAAGTTCAAGTACTAGTCGTATTTGGGACAAGAAGACCCATCTAGTTCTCTACTTGGTGCTCCTTTCGTTCCTTTCGTCGTTTGAGTTGCTCCAGCATTATCTTGTTGGATTCCAGTTCTTCCACACCAAACACGTCGTCGTCGGTAGTACTACTCGTTTCAGTCACGGCAGGTGTGAGAATGTCATCCACATCATCCTTATCAAAGACAATGTCCGCATTCTCTTCCAGTTCCATGGTGCCATCTGGTACAGACAGCAAGTCGCACCTCTTCATGTTGTTGTCGTGGTGGTCCTCCTTGTCGTCCATGGCATTGTTATTATTGTTGGCATTGTTGTTGTTGTTGTTGTTGTTGACTGGTAGTTTGGACACCCGAAAGGCTCCGGGAGTGACATGATTCTCTCCAAACTCGGAACTGATTTGTCGTTCTCCCGTGGGTCGGACCCAAGGGGCTGTGGAACATGCGTAGGATGGTCGTTGTGGACGATGCCCTTGCTCTTCTTCTTCTTGCTGCTGCTTGTCTTGGAGAATGACAAAATCATCGTCCTCCACCTCCTTTCCTTCTTTTTCTTGTGGATTCTTGTTATCATTATTATTGTTGTTGTTGTTGTTGTTATTATTGTTGGACCAGTGACAATCTGTTGAAATGACGTCTTGTTCTCCTTGCTGTCCTTGTTGATCGTCCTCCACCAGCACCATGTCATCATCATCATCATTAGTGGCAGTACTAGTAGTAGTACCATCATTCACCCCCACTTTCAAATTGCGGAGGCTGCTCCTCTTTTTGAGTTGTGCCAACATTTCCAAAGTTCCCGTTTCGGTATCCCAGTCTCCTGGATCTCCTCCTTCCGAGATGTCTCCACCCATTACCGAAACAATGCCGCTGTTTGTTTCGGGCAGAATGGTGCTGCTGGTGCTGCTGTTGTTGTTGTTATTGTTGTTGTTATTATGATCATTATGATCATCATGATCATTCTGGAGCATCAATTTCTTCTCGTCCTTATTATTGGCAACTTGTCGAGCCACTTGGACCAAATCCAATTTGGATGCTGGTTCATTCTTGGGACTGTTGGGACCGGCCATTCGAACGGCTCCTGGTTCCAAGAATGTTCCAGCGGTCGTTGGTTGGTGATGATGGTGGTGGGACAATGGCGAGGATGGTCTTGACAAGACGACCGTGGAAGATTGCATGAGACACGTCGCATTTTCTTCCATTTCGGCTTGCGGTCGGGTCCAAGGGGCAGACGCTTTGGCGTATTCCACACGGTTGTGATGAGGAGGAGTAGAAAGAGGAGCAGCAGCTGTCGCAGTTGTCGCAGTTGTCGCAGTCGTAGCCATGTTGGTTGGAGCAGCAGTGACAGCAGCAGTGATAGTGGTTGTAGCAGTAGTAGTTGGATTCTCCATGATGGAAGATCGAATAATGATGGATGATAGTTGGTTTAGTCTTGGTTGTTTTGTTTTTGTTTTCGTTTGGTTTTTATGCCAATGAAATGAAATCTATTTTATTTTTATTTTTTTGTTTCTCCGTCTACTATACTGTCGTCGTTGCAAAACAAGACTAACAATAAAATCGATTCTGCGATGCGATGAGATGATGCGAGATAAAAAGAAAACAGAACAACAGATGACGATGATGATGAGAACACTCTCACTATTGCTTGCGCACGGTTCGATCAGAAACGACACACAAAGTGAGTGACGCCAAGTTCGGGTTCTCGTCTGATCAGATCAATTTTCCGAAGACATGCATGTCGGCAGTGTACTATGATAGCGTCAAACGGCGGAGCTTCTCTTGTTCTATTGCTTGGAATGGTTCAACCCCTACAGTACATGTACAATAATATTCTGAATAGTAGTAATAGTAATAGTAGTATTTTAAAAAATATTAATATTATTATTATTATTATTACTACCCCTATTGCTATTTAGACACCGAATTCTGCAAAAAAGTTGGGTTTTGCAAGGATTGCTGAGGACGCTGTTGTTACGGATGCAGGACTGTTGTGCTGCTGGTGGTGGAGGCCCAGCAATAGGTCAACATTCTTCTTTTGAATGGGTGTAGTAGGAGTAGGAGTAGGAGTGGGAGTAGTAGTAGGAGAAAAGGAAAACGAAGAAGCCTTTCGAGCAGGACTTCCAAAGTTTGCAAAAAAGTTTTCACTACCACCACCACCACTACGACCACGACCACTATTCCCACTATTCCCACCAATGTCGTCAAACGTCAAAAGGTCGGCAGCATCTTTTTTGACAATAGGTGAAGGAAGCAGCGACGATTCAGTCCGAGCATCCAATGATCTTCGCAATAATGCTGTGGGTGATGAGGATGCAATCATGGCTGGACCTGAAACAGCATTACCATTATTATTGCCAGCAGCACCAGGAGCATACTTTTTGTGAACATACTTGTCCGTAATGTACCGTCGCCATTCCATCGTATTCGCAGGCGTCAATCCAGGCGGAATGGCATTGCCATAGATTTGACTGGCTCGGGCATTTCCAATGGTCCTCATTCGTTCCAATTCGTCAGGACCCCACCAGTAGGTTCCCGTGCATCCCTTGGGTTTGGAAATATGAGTCCCGATGCTGCGATGATGAGAACCGCAGGGGATGCACAGAAAGACACCCAGATTGACGGATGCCCACATGACAGATTCTTTGGTGCCACAGTCGGCACAGTCTCGATTGCAAGCTTCATGTCTCAACGTTTGAAGTTCGTGATTGAATTTGGATTCGTTCGCCGTCATGAAATCCTTGGGGTACAGGGTGCCCAGTTTGGATTTCCACATTTCACCACCACCATCGTTGCTGCTGATAGTGCTGATAGTGCTGATAGTGCTGATAGTGCTGATATTGCTAGGTGTTGATGGCATGGTACCGTATTTGTGGCTGCTGCTTTTTGCTTTGTTGTTATATTATTGTGAGCATCATACAATTTTTAACTCGATGATGATGATGATGAATCATCATACGAAAAAGGCACGCCTTGATTGTTATCATTCTACCGGTATATACCCGTATTCTGCAAATCACGACTTGAACCCTTCGATCCCTTTTCCTTCCAGTCACGCCAGTCCAACAGAAACGTGACTGAAACGATACGATGAGAAGACCTGCGTATACTCATACCGTACTATATGCAGAACTTTTGGGTGTCATCCATCTCTACTCGTACAGCAACTAAATCTTTTTCTATTTCCAAACATCAAAACATCAAGCACAAAAAGTGAAAGACAATGACTGTCAAAACACAAGCCAAGCAGAACAACAACAAGAACAAGAACAAGAAGAACATGAAAGCAGACGCCAAAACGGCAAAACCAAAACTCAAGAGCCCCATTGTTCCTCATCAGAATAAGAATAAGCTAGTAGCACGCTCCAAGAAGACATGGAACGACATGTCCCATCTATTTCTCAAACGATTTGCGGATAATGATGCGACCCTTACAGCTGGTGCCAAGCGTGATCGATTGAAGCATCCGCATTTGGTAGTGGCGGAATATGATCCAAGTGGACGGTCCAAATGCAAACTTTGCGGAAACAAGATTGCCAAGAAGGATCTTCGATTCACTCTTTTTCTAGAATGTCACAAGGGATATCGCAATGCCTGTACGCTTCATCAAGACTGCTTTTGGAAACATCCGGAAACTGCCAAACTGGAGTATCATGACCACGAGTCTTCTTATTCCAACCACAACAACCACAACAACAACAACAATAATACCTCTACTAGGGGTGAAATCCACATGGCGGCAAGTTTGTCACAAGAATCACGAGCTTGGATTGCCAAGACCTTCCAGGACCGCAATACTAGTAAGAAGAATAATAACTCCAAGCCTCCTTGAGAGCATTTTCTAATACAGTCTATACATTTATATTGTAGGATTACTTTACTTTTAGTTCAAATGAATGAATGAATGAATAAGACCATGCTGATCGTGAAATGCGGATCCAAAGATAATAATGCCTTATCGGGACGACAATAAGGATGATACAAGAAGTCTATGGAACAACTTGCTGCATATCATGTCGAAAGAGCAATGCTGGTGGGACATGGTCAATCAAACTTGTCTGGAGGTTTATCTAATATGCCCGCGCACATCAGATAGTACATGGCTCTCCGTATTGTATAAACAGCTCGATTTTGAATACTGTGGGGCTGGAAAGCGTATAACGCTTAAGGCCATTGGGGAAAAGCAGAAGTCATCTACTATATATATATATATAGAAATCTTTCGGACATCCAAATTCGACAAGCTAAACAAAAATTATACAAAATGGCATTACTGCGAGTGCGAAAGTGAAAACCCTCAATAAGATTCACCGACAAACACTTGCGGGGGGACGGTCATCCTGACACCCAGGCAGCGTACTGTATGGAAGCGCACAATAAAGTTTTGCTGAAACGTCTTGTAGAGAATAATACCGGAACTAACCGCAGCTTCATTTTTTACAGTGTCATACTCAGCCAATCAACGAGCATCTTTCACACATGAAGTCTTCCGGGAAGGGTTCGGATATTTCGTTCAAAAGCAAACCAAAAAAAGATCCAATCGATAGATTGCAATGCAATCCTGTAATCACGACAAAATCTTCACCCTAAATGCTTCAATGGTAGATCCATCCTTGAGCCCATATTCCGCCAAAGATAGTCCCCCCTTTAGCCGTCGCTTTCGGAACCGTAGAACCTGTTTCGTAGCAGGAATACCCAACTCGTTGGCCACTTGCTCCATCAAGTCTTCTAGCAGATCTGTTTGATCGACAACTAATTTCGCAGTGTCGCCTTCTTCGGATACCACTTTTATTACAAATGGCGGCGACGGGAGTAACGACAATACTGCCCCACTGGAAATTTGGTACTCTACCAACTTTTTGGAAGAATCCAATGGACCCGTCTTGTCGAAATATAAATTCTGATGGGCAATCGGAACCCCCGTGAGTCCCAAATAGGCAAACTTGACGTCTCCCACGGTAGCACCTTCCGGAACTTCCACCTCGCAAGAGTAGGTTTCTCCATTATCCTCTACAATCGTAATTCGAAAGGCAGCGGTCCTCAATACCGTACCATGTTCCACATCAAAGTCCATCAAGTAAAAACCATCCAACAGCTCCGTTCCATCCTGCAAGTATAATCGATGAAGAGGAGTATCCAGTGGATTGTTCAAACGCTGGGATACCCGTTGCTTCACTTGATGGATGCTGTCGACTGGTCGGACGGGTACCCTAACTTGTTCCTTTTGGTTGGCCTTTTCAATGCACAAATGAATCGGCTCGAGCCGTAGCCTTGCGTAATGGTGAAGGCCATATTTCTTCAATTCGCCATTTTCTTTGCTGAGAAGTGCCTTTTCAAAGGATAGTCGTAACATTTTGGCCGGCACATTGATGAGATTCGATGCTAGTTCCTTGACCATGGCAACAGTATCTTCTGGCGCCACTCGGATCTCAAAAAATCGCTTGTCCCAATCTTGAATGTACAATTTCATTCCTTCCATTTCCAAAATTGTATTGTGGCCGATATTGTAGTCCTCCAACCGAACATCGTCTTCTAGCAATTCGCCGTCCAGCATCAAGGATTGGTCCGTGGGGAGATCCGAGTTCGCTTTGGCAAGTTTGCCTCGAACATCCCATACCGTATCAGTAGCCTTGACGGGAAACAAGGTGATCGTTTCGTCTCCACGCCCCGTCAGCACTTTGACATGAAAAATAGCCTTGGGTTCTTTCTTTGGGCTTGTGATCATTGCCGATCCTTCCTCAATCCTCATTGGCTGATCCTTGGAATAGTGAACCTTCCACATGCCGCCGACACCCAGTTTGCCAATCTTTTGAGTCTTGATCAAGTTGATAAACCCTGCTTTACCAGCGGCAATGGTGGTGGCGTCTGCCAACAGCCGTGGATACATCCAGATACCCATCGTTTCGACTCGACTTGGGACCATGGCCCCGGGTGGATAGACCCACAAGTCGAGTGGACTAAAGTCATCGTTTTCCACGTTCGCTTCCGGATTAAAAGCCCAAAAGCCATACCTGGCGGTGGATCCCTCCAAGCCTTTTGGTTTGTCATCGTTATGAAAGAGCCAGACTTCGGTTGGATTCTGTACTTGCGGAATTTCAGAAGCCCATACACCTTGAAATTGTTTGTTGTCGTTGACGTCGTGGTCATTCAAATTGGGTAAGGATTCTCCCTTGGATGGCTTTCTATACACCAAAACAGTTCGATATTCTTCCGTAATATCACTTATTGCTGGCTTGGACGTTGAGTCTTTGAGATTGTCGGAATCCACAAAGTTTGGTCCTCCTTTATTGTGCGAATTCGTATTCCAATTCTCTGGAAGAACTTGACCACTGTGACTTATTTGAAAGTTGTTGGAGGTACTTATTCTTCGACTCTGTGCGCCATATTGATTGAGACCTTTTTTATCCCCCATGTAAGGATCGCTAGATCGTCGAGAAGGTACAATTGTCTTGTAATTGGGAGGCCTTCGTCGCGGCATTTGTCTCGGAGGCCTATCGTTGTTGTCTTCTTCTTCTTCGTCGTCATCATCGTCATCATCGTCATCATCATCATCATCATCGTCGTCATCATCACTGGAAGACGAGAGTGCAATTCCAGAACTTCTCGTATGTCTTGCGCCTCGCGAGCTCTCATCATGCATTGTCGACTCACCATCAGATGATGCTTCGTCATCATCATTCGATGAGGAGGAGTCAAACTTGTGACTTTGGTCGTCAATGTCATCGTCGCTGAGTGATGGTGCAGCCGCTATGGTGGATCCATGATTGTTGCCAGATGATGATGTTTGGCTTATTACTGTGGGACGCAATTTATTGAATTGTCGCGGTGATATGATTGCAGACAATGATGAGGAAAGTGATGAAATCCGAGAAGTCCTTGGTGATGATTGTGCCGCCGCTGCTGTATTGACTGCTGTACTAGTCTCTCCATTTTCTGCCTTCTTCTTTTTCTTTCCAAGAGATATTCTGAATCGACTCTTCTTTGGCGCGACGCTCTCACTGTTGCCCTTCGGTAAGGCTGATTCTTTCTCTGCCATTACGAACTGTTTCTTTTGACAGTATAATATATATATGTGTATGTGTATGTGTATATACAGGTCACAGTAGTCCTAGTCGGTATTGTCTCTTTTTCGAAAATACGTTTGGGATACCAACAATCAAGATTTGCTTTTGATGACGAAGCAAATGGGGCTTTCTCTTTGTCTTGCTGTTGATGACAAGTAGATTATAGTTTCTCTTCTGTCGCTGTATGAATGAATGAATCAATATGGCTGGAAGCTTAATCCGATTTCCGACACAGTCTTTTGAATATTATTGCGTTAATGACAGGCGTTGAAACAAATTTTATAAGATGCAAAAGTGAAAAGAATGTAGTCGAAGTAGCGTCTGTCCTCCTCCGGAAATATTGGGCCTTTTCTAGTCCAACTTTCCGTCATTTACTCTTGATTGGGATCGTAAATAACTTCACCCTATTATGATGAGATGATTCGTTACAGTAAGTACAGGATATAGGATAAGGCACAGCGAGAGCAACCTTGGCTGACTCAATCGACTTGAGATAAAGATCATACTGGATTGATTGATTGATTCGGTTTGTTTGTCTTTCTTGCTTCAGATCTCTCACATTCCAACATCAAGCTCTGCCTTGGGCAAAAATATTCATCAGCTCATGCTTATCTGCCTCGATATGCTGTTCAATGACACCAAATAGTGAGCCATGGGTGCAACCATGCAATCGTTTCATGATCGTTATGGTATCATTCCACGAGCGCTGCTTTGGATCACAGGGAATAGGTTCTAGGTCCATGTCATTTGGATCCGTCTCCAAAGCATTCTTGAAAACCTCCCCAAAGCCAGGTTCGTCAATCGACTCGGCAGCTCCGACTACCCGCACGATGGCAAGAAAGTGCTTCAGATCCTTTACCTTCTTTGCATTCCAATTTTCACCCTTGTTTGTCGACTTGTTGAATCGGGGGCTAGGACTATATATTGCCACCACGACCACTGGATCTCCTTCTCTTTGTAGTGGTTCCCTCGTCGTCCTCACATTGGGCTGCAGCATTGCTCTCTGCGGAAGAGATTTCGTTTGCCTTCTGCCGAATCACAATGGGCTGAAGATTCTTGAATCTACTACTGTACTTCAGACTGCCTTCTGGTTGGACAAACCATATCTGCGGTTCGGCAATACTAGTAACATCTGGTTGTGCGATGCCTATTTCGTTGCATGTCCGCACAAAATGAATGAATCATTGCAGATGATGACCCATCCGCTTCGGAATTAGATTTTTCTGCAAGAACCCCCATTTTCCAATCCCGCTATAGTCAGCGTCCGTTCCTTCTTTATCAACAGAATTGCATCCATCGCTTCAAATAAGGTATCCCTTTTTGCCTTTGCAAAAGCGACCAAGTTTTTGTTTGCCAACCACAAGTTCAATAGCCCGACTCTTGAACGTATCAAAGGTATCAAATTCAAACGATTCCATGGAGGCCGTAAATACATCGAGCAAGGTCAAAACTTGTTGTGGGTTGGTCTTGTTGTGGAAGGGAAGTTCAGCGCCAGCAATCGTTATTTCTTGATGAGCTGCCAGCAATTATCGTTGCTAATTGTGACTCCCAGATCCAACCTGCTAGGCTTCGTGCTTTGGGATTACAAAGTAAATCGTCAAAGAGTTTTTTCTTCAAACTACCGTCCGACTTTTGCGTCTCTTGGTTCAAAACATTCTGGGCCACATACTGCGATGAAAAATTGATCTTGAAGCTGTTCCGAAATGGGTTTGCTGGGATGATGTGGCACAGAAGCACAGAATATAATTTCTTGTCAAGAATGGCACCTTTCTTTCGAGAATCAGTTACGGGAGAAAGCTTGGTGACTTCCTCCACCATGGAAAAGTAGGCCATTATCTCATTGTCAACAATATATTTTGCATTGTCAGGACCATCCAAGCACAGTCGTGGTACACCGCCAACATACTGGTATGATTCTTTCGTGTGGTCTCTACCAGGTTATCACCTTTCTTGGATCTTATCTTCGCCGCCATTCTTTCGAGCTCCAATTCGCTTGCCGGATCAAGAAAGCAATAGCTTCCATCAAGTTCCGTCATAGTTTGTTGTTGTTGCTGAGGACTTAAAATAATACGTCATGCCACCGGTCTTGGTTTGCGGAACAAACAATCAGAACGAAACCAGGTGGATAGCTAGACGCTCCTTTCCCTCTGCTCAAGTCCACAACGTGAACTGTTCTGTATGCATCGCAAGCATTGTTCACCAATTCATGGGTGACATTCTTGTCCCAATTGTAGGTAACATTCCAACCAAAACCTTTGGCAAAGAACAAAGCAATCATGGCGCCAAGGAATGACTTTCCGGTCCGTTGTACTCCTGTTAGAACCATTATTGATCTGTCGTTTTGGACTCCCCCATTACTTGCTTGCTTGCTTGCCCGCCTTCTTGACAAAATCGCAGCAGTGAGCTTTTTCAAAAAAAGGCAATCGTCGAGCAAAGAATATAGGAATAGCATGGTCTCCAATAGATTGATGTTATCTCGCGGTCAAACCAGGTCATCCGCTTCACCGTGATGTGACCAGTGTCATCAAGTTCCAACAATTGAATATCTTGGTCGAAAAATTGCCTCATCGCGAGTCATTGGTAGTGAGATTGGATCATGTAGTGCCATATATATGCCTTCGGTTTGTGCAAATAATAGTCTTCCCAAAATAGGAAATGAAGGTTTGCTGGATGACATGATATGATCATATGCGTTGGACGATACAATAATGGATACTATTAATACCATAATACTACCGGTATATCATCATCATCGAAAAGGCAAACCACTCCGAATCGAATCAATCTCAATTTTGGAAGCATTATATTATGGCAGCCAGTAGCAACATAAATCCAACTCCGCTTCTTCTTTCAAAGAAGGTGGATTGATGTATTCTGATCAATCGGCACCTACTACTTGTTTGTTGGAATTCTTGTCTTCATTATTGATGTCCCTGATGTATACCGGTATGTAGTATTTATCTATCTTTAGCTAGCGACAGACAGACGAAGTTGAGAAAGGTATCCAAATGGTGAAAAGCACCCGGATATCAAATGGCGGGAAGACTGCAACTTCAAGACGCGCGTCAGATCCATCACTCCCCGAACCAATGAAATTTCGTCACTTGTCTGTGACCTTTGTTACTTGTGACGCATCAGCTTCAGACCTCGCTCTTCTGGCCAAAATCGGCAGTCTTCTGGAACTACGATTGTTCTTTGCGTTTTGTGCCGAACACCAGAAACATCACATACCTCAAGTGACTGACTCTTTCGTGCCAGTTCAGCAGCATACTACACCGCATACCTGTAAACAAGCAGAACGACGCATCAGTCTTAGAAACCTTTCACTACACCCTCAAACCTTTCCGACTAGCAGCACGACCATGAACTCCAAGATTACTCTTTTCACCATCTTCCTTGTCGCCCTTCTTCTTCTCGCTCCAAGTGAGGCAAGACGCTCCGCCCCTACAGTGGCTCCAGCCAAGCACTATGATCAAGACGTTGCCGGACTAGGTATGTAAACCACTACTCTCGTTGCTGTTCTGCTTTGGCTGGTGTTGGTCGTCGTGTGGCTGTGTTTTCTACCGTATCGATTGATTGCCTTTTTTGATGGGATGGGTCACTTTCAAGATTCATTTGAGGTGTTCTGATCATCATCATCAACATCATCATCATCATCAACATCGTCACGAAGGATTCCTATTTATGTCATACGAATGGCATGGTTGCTCACTGTTTCTATTATCAAAACATTATCTGACACTCTCCTCTTTTGTCTTCTCTCTCTATATATATCCCATCAATCAATCAATCAATCAGGCTTGTACGGTCGAGGATTCCCACATGCCTGGGGAGTTGACAAGTCGTCTACCACCACCAAGAACCACAATGCTGTTCAACATGTCGTCAAGAAGAAGAACAAGAAGGTCCAACGCCGCTCAGGAAAGAACGAAGAGATGTAAATTGTCGTGATGAATGATGACGACGACTATACTCTATTGTCTCCCAACACACAAGAAGACACTATATATTGCTTTCACGACATGATCATGCATGTAGCTGTCACGACAGCTTCATCATTTCATTCGTTTGTATCAACAGTTAGACCGTTTTGTTTGCAAGAAATTTGCAATAACAAAACTGTACATTATAAAATATTATATATCAATTATAAAATTCTATATTCAAGAAAATAGTGAGAAAAAGGAAACATTTTCTTCTTGATTGTTGGCGTTCCAACGAGTGGGTGAGTCTAGTTGGGTGTAGCCAGGCAGGGCTGGCTAACTACCGGTAGCTACCTTTCACTTCTTTCTTACACCGATCGATAGCATTCTGTACAGTAGCTACCGTACTACAGCAGGTTTCTCGAATCATCATTTTCCCATCCTTCTCTTCTCATCATCTTTCGATCGAACCAAGATTGAACTTCCAACATACAGTACTGTAGGGTACAGAAAAAGTGTTCCTCTTTTTATGTTGTGACTGGCATTTTCAATTTTGAGCTTTTTTATATTTGGGGGAAATCGGAATTCAAAAAGAAAAAGGGAGTCCCGAATCGAATCTTGCGAAAAAATTAATAGCAGTGCACCATCATGCTTC